ACTTCTCTGTCTGTTTTCCCAACTGATGCCCAAGAATCACAGGAGTGAAAGCTCTCAGTACCTCTCACATATGTGCCACATAGACTGAGCTCCTTGGTTGTGGACTTACAGCACAAACTTGTCTGATTTTCAGGATTTGTTCTCCAAAGGATAGATGGTAAAATCATTCTGAGAGCTTTGGTGTAAATGTCACATGTGGTGATATAGCCCAGTGTGTTTTCAGTCCATTTTCAGAGAGCCCAATTTTCCTGCATTCACTCTGCCATGCTGTGAGTGATGAGATTCAAGGCATCTCCCTCTACCACCTCAGGCATCTGTGTGCTCCACAGTGGATCCACACTGAGCCAGAGTCTGACACTTGCATTAGTATGGTACAATAGCCCAATCTAAAAATGGTTCTACAAGCTTTCTTGCTAGTTGGAGTGTAATAAGTGTGGCCTAGATACCCACATGGATCATTTGGCCTGAGTCTGGCTGGGTGGCTGGTTTTAACTAATATATTGCCAGATTTGGATGCTGCTTTTCATGCTGACCTTTACCTCAGGTCATCCTAATAATTTCAGTAAGGCTGTTCAGAGACTGCAATGCTACAATCTGGCTAGTTGCAGTTACATGATGGAATTCTTAGTGCTAAGCACAGTATAGCCTACCCAACTAATTTGATTTAGCAGGTGTCTTTTTGGCACTTAAAATATTTTGCATATGATTATATTGCATACTGAAGAAAGAAAAACAAAACAAAACACCACAAACCAGTTTATTAGTAAAGATTTTTGCTGTTCTGTTAAAATATGACAATCAAAAAGACAATTTATATTGCAGAGACTTGACTTTTACTTTCCAGGACTGTAAAATAAAACCCCAAGTTCTACATTTTCTGCATCTGGTTGACATTTGAATAAAACTGCCAGAGTGCAAACAAATTTTGTGAAAACATCTCCAGCAAACTTTGCATTGATTCTAAAAATATTTTTGGCTAAGTTACTTTTTAAGGCCATATGTTGAAAAAGGAAGAAACCCTGAAACTTCACTAGAATTTATTGCAACAAGAGATTTGCCAAACTACTTATGACATTTGGGAAGATTATAGTGAAGTATATTAGTTGCTGACTTGACAATTTGCTGCGCTCACTGCTTGCATAGTGGATTCTTGATATTCATGCTGAGAGCTGATCCAACTTTGTAGTACATTTTAGCAAGAGACCTGCCAAATGTCTACTGGCCTGTTAAATGCTGGCAAACCAAACATCAGCCTGGTTTATGAGCCACAGCAAAGCTGCCACGAATGGCACACAAACACTCCTCATGCCTTTTTTTTTTTTTAAGCAAAAATTTTAGCACAGAATTGGATGGGAATGGGTTTGAACTAGTTTTGACTTAAATTCTACCTAGGTCTGCCCTCATAACTCCTGGCCATGAATCTGGAGGCTGCAGGAGAGGCAGTTCTGTTTTACTGAGGTATGTTTCTTCTTGCTTCAATGAATGACAGCCAGGACTGTGTGGTCCTGTTTGCAGAGGCCAAATTGTGCCCCCTTGGTACACCCCAATGAGAGGGCAGAGTCTCCTATAACAGAGGGCTAAACTGCCCCACTTTTATTGTTTATTCCTCTCCCTCCATGGGAGTTCATCCCTTCAGCTGCTGGGGTGAGAAGGATTGTAAATGGGAAACTCTGCTGCACCCCATGCTGAATCCAAAGCTGTCTGTGTCCGTGTGAATCCTCCCACTGAAGACTCTGCACTGCCTGTCAGAGTTCCACTAGCTGTGTCAGAAGTGGCAGTTCTGCTCTTTTCACCTGCACTGCTTTTGATATCGTTCCAGTTTAGTAGGACAGAAGATTATCCTGCTACGATAAGCAAATCTTGCTATAAAAAGGCAAACCCTTGCCCTCCTTGCCAAAGCAAACATTCTTACAAAGGCAGAAATACTATTGCCATGTTCAATAAAATTTTCTTCCATATCATGCTAAAGTGAATAAGTTACCTCAACATTTCTTACCTCCTTATAATATATGTTTATTATATTTATTTGAATGGCATATAGGAATACCAGGAAATCCCTCCTCTGACTCTGTACCTACACATCTGTTAGGCAGAAATTAAATGGTCATTTAAAACAGAACAAAAAGCACACAAAGCCCCAGAAAACCCAAATCCAAATTGAAAAACTTGCTTATTTAAAACATTCAATCAGTTAAACGTATTTAAAATGTACAATCAGTTTAGAAAGTTGTGTCATGAATAAAAATATTAAAATCTAAAAATCTAGGTTTATTTTAGTGATAGGGTCCACTTAAATGCTATTTACAAGAGACAGATTGAGTCTTATATACATATATATAAACCCCACATTTTAATGGAAAAAAAAACTGCAAAAAATTTGGCTGTTTGTACTGATTAGATAAAACGGGAAAGGGTGATATCTTTGTGGGTTTGGTTTTCTTAAAAATCTTTTTCCCTATGCTATTCCCCTACCTCCCGCCTTTGAGATCACCCGCGAAATGTCAGCATCTTCGCTGTAGCAAATAGACGGTAACTCAAGGAGGAGAACGCCTTGGGTCCGGGCCCGGTTCTGGGCTGGCTCGGTTTCGCGGGCACGG